CTACATGCTTCAAAGATTTCTGAAACCTTGTCAATCTGGCTTCTGGTCTATGTTGTCAAGATCTGTGAGTAAATGAGCTCAGCTTAAGTATCCATACCTCTTCAGAATCAGAAGCCTTTGATATCAATGACTAAATTTTATACTCACTTTCAAATGTACATTTTATTAGCTCTTCCTCCATGAGTAAGGCCTTTAGGACAAAGCTTACGTGACAACATTTCATAACTGTACAAACAGTGTTTCCAAACAAATGTCCTAATTTTTGTTTTGGGCATGTGCTGCTCAAATGATTAAGTGGGTAAATAAATGAGTACATGGACTGGAAGGGTTATTCTGCAGCAGCCAGAAAATGGTACCTGTGTGAACACAGCAGAGAAGTGAGGAGGAGGAGGGAGAAATTGAAAGAAAAGAAAACTCATTTTTCTCCTTTTCTGCTGTTTTAGAAAAAAGAAACTATAAGAAGTTAGCAAGAAAAGTGAAAGGAGAGAGGACCAAAATAAAAAAAAAAAAAAAAGAGATAAGATGACAGAGAAGGAGACATTTGAGGAAAGAGAACACTTAGGTGAATGAGCCTAGGAGAAGGGAAAAAGGCAATAACAAAGGCAAAGAAGTGAAGAGGAAGAATTGAACTGTGTGGAAATACACTAGAAAAAATAAAAAGACAGTCTGGAATATTAACAAAAGAAAGGAAATAAGATGAAAAAGGAAGATTTTTTAATAGTTATTAGAATTTTAATGTTTACAATAAATACTTGATTTTTATAGAAGTAACAATTCCACAAAATCTTATCAAACTTTTTTCATTTTAACATTTTATCAGTGCACAGCACAAAAAGCAACAGAAAAGTAGAGAAGAGATTTAGTCAAAAGCACTTGTGCCTACGAGCTTTATTACATACTTCTTACAAAGCAACTTTCATGCTAGCTGCCAACTAAATGAGAACTCTTATCTGGCCAGTGTTGAAGGCTGGTGTGGTGTATAAAGTCATGACATTAAGCATTAGAATATCTTTGCTCAAGAAGCAGAGCACAAGTTATTCAAAGACGACTTTTCTTTAAACTTGTCATTCCTCACTTGTTAAGTTATCAGTGTGGAAGGTATAAAATACTCCATGTTTATGCAAATACAGCAACCAAAACCTAGAGGAACACTTTGGTTTTCATGCAGAAGAGGTAAAACACAGCAAATAAGTTTCTAGCCACAAATACAAACAAAGCTGCCTAAATTAAGATTAATTAACTTTTCAGTATCCTACGTGTTTATTATGAAAATGAAAGCTCAATAAGGCTGTAATTTCTATTAAGAATTTATTTAGCTCAGAGGATGCAAGGCCATCAACATTACCTGTATAATGACTGTATATGCATTTGCAGTTGTTCTGTTCATTGACTTGTAGCCCCCACTACTGTTGGTTAGCTGTCAGTGGCCACCCACATGTCCCAAGCCATTGTAACTTTGACTTCCTGCCTTCTAGTAATATGGTCCAGTAACATAGTTACACTAGGTTGCCAAATAATTAGAAGGGGCTGTTAAAGCAGAGGTGTAGAAACTAGACATCTTTACTGGCAAGCATCTGTGAGAAAGGTCATAGAGTCAGAACTAGCTGTCTACCTACTTTTGCATGACTTTTTTGGACGTCTAATGTTTTTACTTTACTAGATATGATAAATCTGGATAACTGACAAAGTGTTTGGAACGTTTTTGGAGCTTTTTCATGCTGCTATTTGCAAGCTAGTACACAAAAAGTAAATAAAAAAGTGTAATTTGGAGTCCATTTGTCAGTACTCTTCACATCCCTGTTGTTTGTTATTCTGTGGTTCTGCCTTGAGTGAACCTCCTTGGACACTGAGGCAGGGCTGAGTATATGCATAAGGGATAACATTTCATTTATTTCCTGTAAATCTTCATTTCCATCTGGAAAGAAAGAATGTCAAGCCCAGACAGAATGAAGTACTTGTTTTCGTTGTCCATGAAAAAAGATTATTTCAAATATTTTAAAACAAAACATTCTGCACTGCAACATGAAGAAAAAAAAAATCAAAACAAAAAACCCCCGCACCTCTCATCTCTTTGTCATTTGTCTTAAACAGCAGAAGTAAAGCCACAATGACTGTATTAAAATTCTTAATGAAAAAGTATTCAGGAGAATGAGGCCAGTTCAGATTTCACTCTAAGTAGCATATCTATACTTGAGGCACTGCCAGCACTTCGGTATAGTAAAGCACAAGATTGCTGCTGTGCTCGTACATCATCACAGGATCTGCACTAGCCTCTTGGCTGGTACTTGCAGAAACGTAGCAGTCAGGTATAACATAAGGACTGTGCTGCATTTAGATTCAAAATGGTTTATCAGGATGGGTGTTCACTAGTTCTTGTTGTAATGTCATTTCCCATTGATCCATTCAAGACTTTAATAAAAAAAAAAAAAAGCAATTAATGAAGCTGATGTTATTTTATCCTCACCTCATTTGACTCATGAAGTAGCTCAGCAACAATACAGATTGTTTTATTTGTGAGTTAATTTTTTGGTAATCTCAGAACCACTTGAACGTTGTTGATTCTGCATAGAGGTCTATTCTAGCTAAGGTTTTTTTGTTTGTTTGTTTGTTTTAAAAATAACTACTGAACAGGTGAGAAAATCCTCTGAAATATACACAATATTGCTAATTCATGTCTTAGGCAACTTGTCTGAGAACTGCAAAGGGGACCAGTTTATTCAAGACTGCCTGTAGATGGTACCTGTTTATCATATATTTGCTTTTTTATTGCCTTTATATATTGACATATGTTTGCCAAATGTCCCATTTGCCTTGATAGCTTATGTGCCTGATGAGCAGAGGTGCCTCTGAAAACATTTTCCGTGAGGTGTAGGTGTAGCCTATTCTATTGAAGAGACACTATCGACCTCTGAAGGTGTATTCTGTTACATGTGTCAAAAAAGAAGGCCCCAAGAGTAACTTGAGAGTAGTTATTGCTATCTGTTTAAATCCTGCCTGCCTGTTGTTGTAAATATTCAAGGAAAAAAAGAAAAACAGATGAAGAATCACAATCTAATGATCAGTTAAAAAAAAAAAACAAACAAAGCAACCCCCTCCCGCCCAGTTTTTTAATGAAATAGTCGGGAGAAAAACCTGAAGGACTAAGGCTGATATCATAAATGACGGTTTTCAAACTTAAGAGAACTTCTGGCAATGAAATGTTAAATACTTCAAAAGGGAATGGCAGATAGCAGAAACTGCTCAGTATATTAAAAGAGCTGCTCTTTTGTTTCTTTCTTCCTGTTTTCTCAGTCCCAGTGAAAAAGTGCTCATAGTTAGCACGACTTAAACAATGGGCAATTTGATTAAATGGCACTGTGTTGTCTTTGTGAACTGTTTTCTATCTGCTCAAAAATATGGATGCTATGTTGCCACATTTTGCAGCAACTCATCTAATAGTATACACTAAATGACTTACACTGATATAAAATCAGAAATCTTATGGGAGGGGAACTGCTGCTCATTTTATTCTATTTGCAAAAATGCTACTTGGCATACTTCCACATACTTGCATCATGTTTCCCCTACAGATGAAACCGTTAAAAAAATTAATATTCCTAAATTTTCACTTACTTTTTTTTTTTTTTTACGGTAAAACAACTTAATCTTCAATTCCAGTTTTAATTCATCAGTTAACCGTGGCAAAAGCACTTCACCTATTATTTACACATAGCCTATATTTACACCTTACGCATCAACAGAGGAAGATCAGATAAAGTACTTCTAAAAAGTACTTAAAGCATCTACAGAGACAAAGCAAAGCGGATGTCGGTCGGCACTGAACTCCTGTGAATTGGTGCCATTCAGTAGTTTAGAAACAAAACCAACTGATTTGACAGTTAGTGGGGTCTGCTGCCCTCTCTTCATCTGTGGGCCCTCTCTGCGAGGTTATCTCAGCTCCCCGTACAGGTTCACGCTCCCCCTCACGAGCGCAGGCTTTGCCACCACTGCGGCTCCCCAAAGGCAGCGGAGCCGCGGCGACCGAGGCCGGGTGCGCGCTGTG